TTGGAGGCAACGATTAATCCCCACGCCACGGTTTTTGCGAATCGGCAGGTCACGGGAATATTATCCCCGAAATATACAAATCGTCGTGTTGGGTTGTTCAACGATGCCGGGATGTTGATTCCGTTCGACTGCCTCTCCCTTCATGTAATGCTGAACATGTTTTTGTGGCTGCGGTCGAAGTCTTAGGAACATTTCTATTGGTCGAGCCATGGCTGAGCCAGTTTGGCTCAGAGACGAAGCATCCGAACAGCTTGTATTTCTCGAGTCGTTACGGTGTTCATCGGGGAAAAGTTTACAACCATTTGGCGGTCGTATGGGACATATATACAATACACTTCTACCCAAACAAAACCAAACGACTGTGCACCAAGACCGTTTTCGAGCTGTACGGCTTCTGTACGGCTGCTGTACGGCTGCTGTACGGCTGCTGTACGGCTTCTGTACGGCTGCTGTACGGCTTCTGTACGGCTGCTGTACGGCTGCTGTACGGCTTCTGTACGGCTGCTGTACGGCTGCTGTACGGCTTCTGTACGGCTGCTGTACGGCTGCTGTACGGCTTCTGTACGGCTGCTGTACGGCTTCTGTACGGCTGCTGTACGGCTGCTGTACGGCTTCTGTACGGCTTCTGTACGGCTGCTGTACGGCTGCTGTACGGCTTCTGTACGGCTGCTGTACGGCTTCTGTACGGCTTCTGTACGGCTGCTGTACGGCTTCTGTACGGCTTCTGTACGGCTGCTGTACGGCTGCTGTACGGCTTCTGTACGGCTGCTGTACGGCTGCTGTACGGCTGCTGTGCGGCTTTTGTGCGGCTGCTGTGCGGCTGCTGTTCGGGTTTTTGGTTTTCGTCAATAACAGCTCAGCCGCGGATAACAGCTCGGGTTTCGTTCCACGATGATATCCATCGCACGCCCGAGAAAAGCTCAGGTTAGTCTCAGTCACATCGACAAGCTCCAGGCGTTATTATTCTGGTTTGGCCTCACGCCACTCATCTCTTTCCCCATTCTGCAGCTGCCCGGGAGATTTCTCTTCTCATGCATCCCTTCTCACTTGGCTATCACCCAGTAAGTTAGGTGTCCGCAATCTGTCGCCGTGATTCCAGCTGCTACCATCCACG